CCCCAAAACCCCAAAACCCCAAAACCCCTTAAACACCAGTGATATTGAAATTTAAATTAAAAATGGATTTTAATGTGGGACCTTTTGACTTGGAGGATGAAACTCCGAATGCTATGCAGTATATGTATCACCAAGAGTACGCTTCCAAAAGGAACTCCTCCAATGATGGCACATTGAGTAATGAACTACTTGATGATGAGAATCAGTCAAGTTTTAGGACAGAAAATAGCAGGCTTTCCTTTGATGAAATTGACCAAGAGTTCTCCCGGGCAGCTGAAGATTTTGAAAAGCCTCCTGCTGATCTGAATTTTGATCCTAAACGAATGATAGAGGGCAGATATGGAGAAAATGAGGTAAAGGTAATCCAAAGTGAAAATTATGAGTATAAAGAAAATGACCCTGCATCTTTGACCTCCCAGACAATAAAAAGTACCAAATCGAGAAAAAGCCGGTCTCGATCAAATAAAAGGATAAAGCAGTTATCAAATGTTGATATTGAAGACCAGATCAAATAAAAGGAAGGAAAAGCTTACTAGAATAAAGCAAAATGTTAAGTATGCTCCCAAGGCATCTACTAATCATGAGATCAGACTTAATGACCCGGAGAGAAGACATAAGAAACTGGCGAATCGAAACAAAGCCCTTAAAGAAGAAAATCTTAAGCGTAAGTTTCTTGGTAGAACTTTAGTTCATAAGCAGAATAAACTACTTAACTGAGAGAATAAGAAACTACTTGATGAGATCCGCATTATGAAAACTGAGATGAACAGGATCTTGTCAAGTAAAGCTCCTACCTGAAGGAACAACGAGTATTCAACCTTAACTGGTGGCCATCCTTCTGTGAGGAGTAGTTCCTTAACGAAGAACAAAGCTTCAGGATCTACAACTGTTAAGAATAACAACCATAAGAAGTCTAAGCCAAAGGTAAAGGTACGCATGATGATTATAGAACAAACCCAAAGATTCTGTGCAAATTACCAAGAATGATTTTGAACAGATTCTGGATAGCTTGACAAGTTTTCAAAATAGGCTAAAAATTCCAAACGAATTAATGGAAAATAATGAAGCTTTGCAAGTAGAGAATAGTATCCTCCGACAAGCGCTTGAAATATATGAGGATCAGGTAATGCTCTCCTTCTGACACATAGATCCCAAAGATGTATAAAGAGCACCTAAATAACCTTCTTGGGGATTTAAAGCCAAACTTTACGCCTCGTGAGATAAAAATGATTTCAATGTCTAATTACTGGAGAGATAAGACCAATCATCTGATTAAGAAATATACCAAGGTTATTAAAGCTTTTAGATCTGCATTTACGAAGGAAACTCAGAATAATTTAGATACTCTGACTCAGATCAAGAGCTTACAGAATTTAAGATAAATTCAATCAGGAGTGTGAGGGAAGGGGTTTTGGGGTTTTGGGGTTTTGGGGTTTTGGGG